GGGTCAGGAGAGGTCTGCTGCTCCATGTGGGTCACTTCCGGGGCTGGGGATCGAACTCACACTGAAGTGGCTTTAGCTTCTTAGTGCTGGGCTAAATTTAACCCACTGTGCCACAAGGGAGGGCTGCAACTCATATTTTTAATGCTTTGCTCACCGCTGTTGGAAATATTTTGAGTCATAAGAGGGACAATTTTCTCTGCCTTGCACACTTCTGGGTTTGTTGTATGAATTGTAGACTTGCAAGTCCTTGCAAGGCTGACTGTGTCTCTCTCTGTTCTCCACCATGGCCCCAATCTGACTGCAGATCCTGGATGTGAATGTGAAGGCCCCAGCCCTGCTTCTGAGTCAGCTGCTGCCCCACATGGAGAACAGGGGGTGAGGAAGGAGATTGGGACTAGTGGGGGTTGGGGAGACTGAGGCACAGGAACTGAGACAAAGGTATGATCAGGATGGGGGGACAGAAGTCTTTAACTCCCATATCCTACCTCTGTCCTGCCTTACCCTTCTGCAGCTACAGCTTTGACTTCTAATGGCTCTGGGGTGGGGGGATGTTCCAGGACCCAGCTACACTGTCCTTGGCCTTGACTCCCCAGATGTGAGAACAGGCGATGCTTAACTCCTTGGCGGGTGAGCTGGCCCTTGCTGCTTTCTCATGGTGGCCAGTTCCTTCTGGATAATTTCTAAGCTGGGACACGGTTTGCCCCCGTTTTGTTCACAGGGGCAAACCTGTCCTAGCCCATCTTCATTTTGTTTCTTGGTCTCCAGGGACCCCGCTTCTGTCCCGGATTCTGTATGCTTGACTGCACTCCTCCTACGTCCCTGGCAGCTTTGTGTTAGGGTCCTGGGCCACCACCTCCCTCAGAACACAGCCACTCCTTGGCTCTTCCCTGCAGACACAACCTTAGGAACTGGCCAGGGATAGTCGTACACAGAAGGAAAACTTCCTGACTATCAGATCTTTCTTCCTCCTCCAGCCCCATTTTTTCTCAGAAGTCCCTATTGATGGGCGTGCACTGTCTGGCCCGAGCACTTCACCAACCCCACCCTCCCTTCCACACACCGGCCTTCTGTTCAGCTCTCCTCTAAGGAGAGGCTGCAGAGTAAACTGGACTGAGCATGGACACTGAAGTCAGAGAAATAGGGCTGGGATTCTAGCTTTGCCACGTAATGATTATTACCCATCCTCTCTGAGCCTCGGGTTTCCTCAGGCTGTGAAATGGGGATAATAACAGGACTTGCGTTATGACTGTGACAATTGCATTATTCCACGGATGCCTTATAGCACTTCAGTCAATGGTGGGTTACTAGCATGCTCTTATTTCGTGTGTGTGTGTCTGTCTCTTCGCAGGAATGGCTCTGTTATCCTGGTCTCTTCCATTGCAGCGTATATGCCCCATGTGGTGAGAGTTTGTTCCTGGCTGGGGTGGAGGGAGGGGTTGTGTAGAACCCCACAGGGACGGTGCCCAGGCAGACCCTGCTTCCTTCTGCTGCCCTGGCTGCTGGGTCCTCCAGCTTCAGCATCTGATACCAGACCAGAGTTGGAGCGTGTCTGAATTCTGGGCTTGGGACACCTCCATGGGTGGGGAATCCAACTGAATGTGCCTTCACTCCCCCATGGCTTATCGCTTCCAGCCACTGGGTGTCTACAACGTCAGTAAGACAGCCCTGCTGGGTCTCACCAGGACGCTGGCGCTGGAGCTGGCTCCCAAGGATATCCGGGTGAACTGTCTGGTTCCAGGAGTGATCAAGACGAACTTTAGCAAAGTGGTGAGGACTGGGTGTGTCCCCTGCAGCCCAGGCTGCTTGGTGGAAACCTTCCCGGCAACGAGGGGCTAATGGGGTGACGGAAGCCTCAGCGGGGCATCCTGCTGGCTGGGTCCTCAGGGACCCCTGAACTCGGCTGTGACTCAGTCCATCAACCCCTGAAAGGGCAGCTCTCAGGCCCTCCCACCCCGTCATTTTAGCAACACTGACTCTTTCATCTCTTCCCTCTGCCCAGATATACAAGAATGATGCTTTCTGGAGCAACTTTCAGGAAAAGCAGCAACTGAAGAGGCAAGTGGGGTTTGGTTCTTCAGTGGCCTGGGCGTGGCTGGGGAGAAGCAGCTGAGTCCATCTTAAGAGCAGCCTTTTCCCGATCTACTGGTCTTTCCTTATGCTGAAGTCGGGGTCTACACATTCCAGAAGGGTGCAAGTCACCCTGCTGAGGCCCCCCTGTCCCTCTGTGGGACCACCGAGCAGCAGAACCAGAGCTGAGATTCTGACCCCGACTGTGCGTGTCCCATGCAGGATCGGGCAGCCCGAGGACTGTGCGGGGATCGTGTCCTTTCTGTGCTCTCCAGACGCCAGCTACATCACCGGGGAGAACATCGTGGTGGCCGGCTTCTCTCCTCGGCTCTGACAGGGCTGGGGGCCTGTGGGTCAGGGTGTAGCCTGAGGATGGGAGTAGGCAGTCATAAAGTCCCAACAGAATCAGAATCAGAAGCCCTGCCAGACTTGCAATTTGGGGTCTCACTCATATCCTCAAGCTTGAGGAAACACCCTCAGCCCTCTCATTCTCAGGACTCTGCTGTGTTCCAGCCAATGAAGGGGTTTTGGGGGTGGGCTTTGGAGCTGAGGAATTCATGGGGTCGCTGCTCTGGAGGAAACCTAAGAGAAAGGATTAGAGGCTCAGTTTGTTCAAGGGTCTTGGCTTCGTCCATCCTTTAAACATTTCTTTTCAAATTTTTCCTTCTTCCATGCTTTAAACATTTCTTTCCAAAAATAAACTGAAATTGATCCTCAAGTCTGGAAACTCATGGTTTGGGTGGACCCAAGGGTGACATGGCTGGGGACAGACTTCTGCTCCTGTGCTGGCCCTGTGCTTGCCACATTCCCAGGCTCTGCTCCAGCCCCTGGACTAGGCCTTGGGCTGGAGTCGTGGGAGGAGAGGGAAGCTGGTGGTTCTTAACATTTTCTGAGCTTCACAGCCTTTGCGAACCTGAAGAAAAAAGTCACACCAATTCTTCCGCACAACTTCAGGTTGGGAGCATCTACCTTAGGGGAGAGTAGTCACTGCCGAAGCACCTAGTGACGGCTGGCCCAGAGATGGCTTCTTTTGGCAAACGCTCTGGCCATCGCCCTGAGTCACAGCCGGGGCACCATCTGTATGTACACAGCAAGGTTTGACACAGCTGAGGAGAAACAGTGGCTCTGGGCACACCTCACTTCCTTCCTTGCATCCAGTGGTCTTGCCGTGAATGGGTCTCAGGGGATGACCAGAGACCAGGCTCCAACCTGACCACTCAGGTTGGTCTCACTGAAGCCTCTCACCCAGAGGTGCACCCTTATCATGATTACAATTTTATCATTCAGTTATAGAAATATTTATTGCTCCCTACTCTGCATTGGACCATGTACCCCGGAGGATACAAATATAAGTAAGCACTGACCTCCTTCCACAATACAGTCTATTAAAGGATTTCGCTGAAAAGTTGCTGAACTGATCCTTACTTAGTGTTGTACACATTCACAAAACATTATCTGTACTTTTTAAGTTTGAAAGGTACTGAAAAGAGAAAAGCAGCCACTGGCATGGGGATTTGACCTGGTACCCAGAGCCTGGCTTTGGTGTTCCTCACAGCAAGGCAAAGGTGTGTGTTGAACATGAACAATTTTAAGAAATGACAACACCACACAAACACTTTATCCATTAGCTGGATGTGTTACAGGGTAGCCCAGAGTGGACTGGGCCGCCTGTCTGTGGGGCCTCACCCGCGCGCTCACAACTGCAGGGACACACAAAAGGGTCAATAACGGGTTTATTTACAAAAGGGGAAAGGAATAGGAAACAACACAGAGAAAGAGAGCGGGATACAAAGTAACTGCAATACCTTACGGCTGGGCTG